TAAGACCATTCATTGTTGGGTTAAAAAGTGTTAGGCTAGAGTAAAAAGGATGAGATGATGAACTTCTTCAGGTATGATATGTTGAACGTTCGAATACAAGGATACGATTTTACTTATCTGGAGAAATTTCAAGCATACGTTGACAGGATGGCTCGAAGGTTCAAATTCAACGTGGTTGACAGGTGTTCATATAGTGTTACTTTCATTTTCTATTCATACATCATTTTAATTTTCATTCTATTTTATTTTTATGGTATGATTTATGATGTAAAGAAATATTATGATGAATTTCATTCACTAGCACACTAACCATAAACACCCGTTTTTGAAGGTGTTGAGGGTTCACTACGTGCAGGCATTCTCATGTTTGATTCAGTTGTGAACTTATGGATATGAATTTACAATACATCATACGTCGCGCCTGAATAGTTTGATAAGAGGATTAAGTCGGTATCCATAGGAAAGAAGAAGTACCAGATATCGCCCGTCTTCAATGCATGCCCGTATGAAGTGTTCCTAGTGTGTACCCTGCTGTTGAATAGAATGATGAACCATCGGGTCCCATCTTGTAACGGGGCATGTGGTGCGGGTGCCGCCACCCACAGAAGTTCCTCTTTCCGCAGGGGAAGGAAATAGTCGATGGGCGTGAACCATCTTGCTTCTACTTCTGCATCTGCCCCGGAGCTTCTTTCCCTTGTAATAATAGGATAACTTTAGAGGATATGAACTATTATCACCATAGAGGCACTACATGCACCCCTTAGTGGGTGAGACCCGGGCCATCTTTCGAAATGCTTTCCCACCTTTCTTTGTTCAGCAAGTAGTTAAAACGTTCAGCACAACTGCTACCAGCTCTTTGAATTACAATTCATTTCCTCCCGCAACAGTAGTCTTTATTGGTAATTCCTTCCGATCGGGGTCATACAAGTAAGAGGGAATGTATCGTTCCAAAGGAGATTCACAAAATCTTCGATTTCCGAGCAACCTTCCAACTAGATTATTATCGGCTCTTACTTGTGAAAACTGTTATCATTGCAGTTATGCCGTAGCTGCTCAGACGCAGAAAGTGGTGGTGTATAAAGCCAATAGCACTATTGTGGACAATGAATTGAAATTATCCCTTTACGATCGGTAAGTTCTTTATTATTATTAGCCATACCCTAGTTATTTGTCGACATACATGACAAGAGATTCCTTTTGATTGAGTTTTGCATAATTTCAGAGTTGTTAGGTTAAGCAACGTACCGGCGCCACAACTTCAGCTCTTCATCTCACTCATCCAAACACATTTACCTGTTGGAGTCACCGTAAGTGCCATGATGTTTCGGATGTGCTTATTTGTTTCACTTTGTTATTTTATTTTTTGTTTTGTTATAAATTTTTATGATTAGCTACAGTGATTGTGTGATGTGTTCTGACTCGCCTTAAACAGTAAACGATCACCTCTGTACTTTCGTAGAACTCTTAATACATCCGCGTACGGCT